AAAGTAGGTGCTGGGGGTGGTTGGACCCCTGGGATCCTTAAGGAGGCAGAGAGGTCGCAGAACTCGGCTCCTATCAGGACGCGACCTCCTCAGCCTTACCCCTCCCGCTGCCATGCACCCTGCAGCCTTCCCGCTTCCTGTTGTTGTGGCTACTGGGCTGTGGGGAGCATCCCCTATCCGAGGCCTTATTCGAGCGGTGAGTCTAAGGGGCGGATGGGGCGGAGGGTGCCGAGAAGGGTTTCCAGGCCGAAGAGAAAAACGGACTAATTTTGTCTGCAGACCTCGGAGCACAATGCCAGCATGGACTTTGCAGACCTCCCAGCTCTATTTGGGGCTGCCCTGAGCGAGGAGGGACTCCAGGTGATGCTCTCCCCGTTTCCTTATAGTCTCTATCCTGGGCAGGGGTTGAGTAGCCGTGCTCTGGATCCAACTGGAGGTAGGAAGTAGTCGAGTTAGCAGCGGGATGCGTTGGGCTGTGGATAGAACTCAGTGATAGGGTGCTTTCCTAACACGAGTGAGACTGAATCACCAATACCAGCTCCCCGCCCAAAACCTAAGTATATGACCGTGTCCAATGTAGAGTTCAGAATCTAGAGGCAGAAGGCAGTGTCCGAGAACTCCCAAGTTTAAGAGGGACATTGGAGAGTGAATTAAGATAGGAAGCAGGTGCTTATCAGTAATGTCTCCAGAGCTGTTTACTGTTTGTATGAATGGCTGTGGATGGTATTTTGTTGACCCTTAGTAAAATGGGTAATGGAAATTAACTTAGAACTACTGTGTTAACTGGTAAGTTGAGTTAAGCATGTCTGTAATAGTTTATTACAAAGTTCTTGCCACATAGGAAGAACTCAGTTGGACCACGGATAGCAATAGTTGTTTCTAAAGTGAGGGTTATTGAAAGTGCTGTATGTACACAAAAAGACGAATCTGAAAAAAACTTGGTGAAAATGACATGGATGAGTAGCAAGCTGAATTATCAGGAAACTGGAAAAACAGAACTAAACTAAGAATTTGAGAAGTCGAGAGAGCCTCTGGTAAAGAGGTGATATGTTCTGTAATTGCATCTTCGGGAAGCCAAGAGATTAGATTCTGCTTTGTTTGGTTTTATAGATAGGTTTCTCTGTGTAACCCTGGCTGTCCTGAACTGTGTATACCAGGCTGTCCTCCAACTCAAAACACCTGCCTGCCTAACTCTACTTTCCAGGTGCTGGAATTAAATGCATGTATCACCATGCCGGCCTGAGATGTAGATTCTGATTCAGGTGGGATGCTTAGACCTCAATGAGGGTAGAGCTACAGAATACAGATGGTGTATGTATCACTATATTCGATAGGCCCTGTGGGAGGCAGAATGTAAAGATGGAAAATCCAACTGTTTGCTTTTATTCCTCAGGGGTTCCTTGTGGAGGCCCATCCAGAAAATGCCTGCAGTCCCATTGCCCCACCACCCTCAGCTCCGGTCAATGGGTCAGTCTTTATTGCACTGCTTCGAAGATTCGACTGCAACTTTGACCTCAAGGTTGCTAAATGTGGAATGGGAGCTGGTAAACATGGTAAATGACACTGGAAGCAAAGAAAGGCAAAGTTTATGACTGTTGTCCGTGCTTTGTCTTCTTAGGTCTTAAATGCTCAAAAAGCTGGGTATGGTGCAGCTGTGGTTCACAATGTGCATTCCAATGAGCTTCTGAACATGGTGTGGAATAGTGGTGAGTAAGGCTGGGGAAACTGCACCGATGGACTTTCAGTAGGAGGACTAAAGGATCAAAAGAGGCCTTTGGGTTCTTTGGGTGGGATGGGCAAAGTGTCAGATGCCAGTTCCAGGGAACTGAGTGGAAGGCTAAATCCCCACTATCCTGCTCCCTACAGAGGAAATCCAACAGCAGATCTGGATCCCATCTGTATTTATTGGAGAGAGAAGTGCAGAGTACCTACGAGCCCTTTTTGTCTATGAGAAGGGGTAGGACATAATGCTTTCTTCTTCCTCTTCTCCCACTCTTCCCCAAGCCTCACTACCCTACCCACTCACACTCAGGCTCTTCCTTTCTCTTCACCAACGCCTTGTCCCAATCCAGTTACCTGGTTTTGCCTGGTTCCTGGCTTGAGACTTGTCTTTCTTTCTTAGGGCCCGGGTGCTTCTGGTTCCAGACAATAGTTTCCCCTTGGGCTATTATCTCATTCCTTTCACTGGCATAGTAGGACTGCTGGTTTTGGCCATGGGAGCTGTACTGGTAAGTAGCAGTGGGAAGAAATTACAAGGCCAGACTGTGTCTGGAGAGGGTTAGTGAGGTGGTTATTGGATTTTCCAGTGTTTTCTTTTCTTTTTCTTTTTCAACTTAAGCCTGGTCCACTCTCCCTTACTCCTAGGTAGTTCGTTGTATCCAGCACCGCAAACGGCTCCAGCAGAACCGACTTACCAAAGAACAACTGAAACAGATTCCTACCCATGAGTATCAAAAGGGTAAGGACACAGGAACAGGGCCCATCTTAAAAGGTGTTTTGAGCCCAGTAGATAAGGGTTTGTATGAAGAGCAGTGGGAGAGGCCAGGCGTTGGTGGCACACACTTTTAATCCCAGCACTTGGGAGGCCAGAGACAGGAGGCAGGCGGATCTCGGTTCGAGGCCAGCCTGGACTATAGAGTGAGGTCCGGGGGGGGCCCAAAAAAAGAAAAAAAAAAAAAAAAAAAGCAGTGAGGGGTTGGAAGATGGTCACCTTGTGGAGAGAGTATAAAGATGTAAGGAGAGCTAGGAGGACTCGAAGCAGGTGAGGGAGGGGTTGGGTAATCTAGCCCTGCAGCCTCTAGTGCCATATAAGGTTATAGTAGAAGCCTTGTCCCTCCCACTTCTGCTTCCCCCCTCCCTTCACCCCCCCAAACCCACTTCCCTTCTTTTATCTGCTTGTCCCCTCTAGCCCCAAGCTTTTCTGTATCCTGCCCTAAGAGCTTGTAGTGGCTTGGTAAAACCTGGGAAAATTTTTACAGGTTTTAATTCTAGCCTTCCAATGAGCTCTCTTGGGCTTGGTTCTGAATGGCTCAGTGAATCCTTTCCTTCTCCTAGGAGATCAATATGATGTCTGTGCCATCTGTCTGGATGAGTATGAGGATGGGGACAAGCTTCGGGTACTTCCTTGTGCACATGGTGAGGCCACTACCTCTGCCTGTGCCCCTGCCCTACCTGCAGAGACCAGGTGCTTCACATAATTCCTCTCCATAGCCTATCACAGCCGCTGTGTGGACCCCTGGCTCACTCAGACCCGGAAAACTTGCCCCATCTGCAAACAGCCTGTCCATCGGGGTCCTGGGGATGAGGAGCAGGAGGAAGAAACTCAAGGGCAAGAGGAAGGTGATGAGGAAGGGGAGCCAAGGGACCAGCCTGCTTCAGAATGGACCCCACTCCTGGGCTCTAGCCCTACTCTTCCCACCTCTTTTGGGTCCCTAGCCCCAGCACCCGTGGTCTTTCCTGGGCCCTCCACAGACCCCACACCTTCTCCTTCATCTGCTGCCCTGGCCTGAAACTTCCTACACTCCAGCACCTCTGGTGATATGTTTGCACAAACTTTTCCTCCAGTCTAATAAGCTGAGGGATAGGGGACAATTCCAAGTTCTCGAACCCGGCCTCATCCTTTCAAGGTGGCTGGGAGCCATAGAGACATGGTCTTCACTCCTTGGGTTAATAAAATTGTTTTTTGTGGACAAAAGAGTAAGATCATTTTTATACAGGTGAAAAGGAATCACCTCATGAGACGAACTTGTCAGGGGGACAGCCCCAGCTGCATCTGCTATGACTCAGGGAGGGGGAGCCCCACCTACACAGGATGACTCAAAGGCCCTGCCTCACCCTCAGGCTGGACCCATTCTCTAGTCTGGATGGCTGTGTTCCATTACACATAAATTCAACTGGGACAGAAATGGAAACACCACTCTAGAGGAGCCTAGGCCACCAGACTGGGTACATGGAAGAATGCTTACTTAGACCCTGGGGCTAAAAAGCAGAAAAATGCAAAGCAACACGAAAAGTTCAGTCTGGACACAGCCAAAACAAATAGCTAATCTCAGTGGAGATGGGCCACAGTGTCTGTCCTCTAATACCCCAAGTGCAAACCACACAGGACCTTGTTAGTAGAATCTTTTTTATTCAGAAAAAAAGAAAAAAAAAAAAACCCAAAAACAAATTTTTTTTCCAAACACACACAGGAGGGGGTATGGGTAAGGGGAGGTATCTGTCTGTCCAGCCCCAGCCCCCAGCCCATGTGGTTTTGGCAGCAATAAGGGAAATGGGGTAATGGCCCAAAAAATAATGGTGTGTGTGTGTGTGTGTATGGAAAGAAGGGGTGCAAAAGCTGAAGGGGTGGTGGGGGAGGGGACAGATGAGGTCAGTACTGGGAACGCCGCAGGTGGGAGGCCATTTCATAACATTTCTTGTTGATCAAACCACCGTGGACACCTTCTTTGCCCATCAGCAGGACTAGCGCTGGAGGAAAGAGAAAGGAGGCTAGAACCCAGGTGTCAATTCAACCCTGCCAGCTGTTCAGCAGCTGTCCAACCCTAGGGGCTGTAACCTAACCTCATTCCTCCCAACCAGCTCCCCCCCCCCACAGACATGCTGTCAGTCACCCTAAAACAATAGAGCTTTTCAAAGGAGGGGGAGAAAAAAAAAAAAAAGAACTAGCAAAGTAAAGGCAAAATTTAGAGGTCACAGGCTGCAGACTGCTGTGGCTAGGAACCACTGTGGATGAGCTTTCTACCTCGCTTTTACAGAACTCAAGGCTGGAGCCAAATGCTGACTTAAGATCTCAACCATCCACACCAAGCAAACTAATCTCAAAAAAGCTTAAGGCAGGAAGGGATTTAGGAAGTAATGTAATTTAGTTTCTTTACAAGATGGGGAATCTTCAGCAGAACCCAAAGGACTCTCCAAGGTTCCCATATCCAGCAGACTGCAAGTATAATACTGTTTTGCAATCTTCACCCCAAATGACTAACAAAAGGAGATACATCAGGGAGTTCAAAACTAGAGAACCGGTCAAACTGAGAAACTCACTTTTGGCAGTCATGGTGACAGTAACATTGAAGGTGGGGGCTCCTCCGGTGCTCTTGGTACGAAGATCCATTGTAAATTCCCCATCCTGCAGCAGTGAGTCCGGGATCACAGAACATTTCTGGCCCCCGAGTGTCAGCCCATTCACGAAAAAACTTGACCGGTCTTTGCCTACCAGGACACCAACCTCAGCTGGCTAGAAGAATCAGAATCAATCACCTTATTAAGTTAGCGCACCGTCTAACTTGTTTTCCAAGAACCCACTTATTTATCCTGGAGTTGGGGGATCAATGTGCTTCACACACACCATCAAAACTTGGGGGGGGGGGGGGGGGGG